TAAAGCCTAGATTTCAATATACCTGCAATATAATTAAATCTGATGTTGAATCAAATCCATCAGCAATGATTAAAACATGTTATCAAAAAGTTTTTAAAACAAAAACAGAATACTCTAGTCTAGCCATTATGGGTTTCGAAAATGAGAATATTATTCGACACTAATTGATGATATTAATTTTTTTTACTTTTTTTTTCAAATTGAAGGTTTTAATATAACAATAACAAGTATTGGTGATCTAAATGAAAATAAATTCTATGGAGTCAGCACTGGTTTTGTTTCTTCGTTTACTACACATTATTGTGGTGCACAATATTTGTTTGTACTTAAAATTGAAGAAGAACAATGTAATTTAGAAATTTATTTAGAATCAGAACATACACATCAATTTATAAAACAAACTCCAGATAATATTTGGAATAAGGTAGAAATTCATAAAAAATATATCTGATTGTATATTTTTGGAATTACAGGCGAATTAGTTCGAGAACGTATAGAGATACTAAAGGGTAGATCACTAACATGTATGCCAAATGACTGGGTGAATATGCAATAGCTTGAAAAAGTATTTAATCGTCATATCAAATCACAAAAAATTTCTAATACAATAGAAAACTAGCTACTTATCTTTTATAAGTGGCATCAACAAACAAGCACAGTCATTCAATTTCTACTTATATTACAAAAAATTTACCTACCTGAATATACTTTTCAAGAAAAAGAATTACGAACATGGCAGTCAATATTTGTTGCTTGTGGGTATACTAATGTAACCTCTGTTCCAAAAAAAGAATCTTTAATAGAGTTCTGGAGCAAAGCATCAGACTCTATTGCAGACAAAGAATCACTAGAAACTTTTTATAAAAACAATATTATCCAATTCCTGCAAAATTTACAACTAACACAAGATTCAACCTTTTGGGATAGTTTTAGAGATGCATTACTTTCGAATAAAAGAGGGTCTGATGGTAAAATTCGCATTTTTTCCATTATCACCCAGAAATTCACATATAGCACTTTCAGAAAGAAATTAAGCATAAGTAATAATTCGATAAATAGTGCTAGAAAATATGCATAGCTTTATGGCCCAGATGCACTGCTTCTGCAAAAGCCAAAAAGAACAGCTTCAAGGCTTACAAATATTCAAGAAAAACAATTTCTGTTATTTTTTCAAGATGGAGATAATGTTGTAATAAGTTTGTACTATACAGATTCAAAAAGATTAACAATTCTATATTTGCGCGATCAAAAAAGTAAAATGTAGAAAAAATTCCATAAAACTTACCCAAATGATATGAAAAGAACTAGTTTTATAGCTCGATTAGCTGATTCAGAGAACCTTAAATATTATCAAGATCTTGGTAGATTATGTATGATTTGCTATGACTACAGATATGATACTTTCAATAATTTGGAAAATATTATTCATTCTAATTTTACAGATAAAAATTTTATGGTTAGTAAATAATTATTTAATTTTTAAAATTAAAGTAAAGTACAGATTTCATAGACATGCTTGCTTAAGAGTAAAGATGCTGGTGAAATAAAGCTAAGGTGGTGAAGTAGATTTATTATTATTAGTTTGAATTGGTAGAATTGGTAAAATTAATTTCACCAGCATCTTTACTTAAGAGCGGCCTAAAAGTTTTTCGTATCTATATCTTAATTGGTAATTTAAAAATATTTTTTTTACTAACCAATTTTATCAGAAACAACTTTTAGAACATCTCAATAAACTCAAATGGCATCTTAGACGAGGCTATGAAAAAGAGCTAACAGTTAGAGCAGATGGTCATGTAGAACACAATTCTTGTACTTCCTACTATTTACTTTACGCATTCGGTGAATACGTTAACAGTCATGAAACATGATACTCCAACTGTAATAAATTGTTTATTTTTTGGATTTTATTTATAGATCAGTACATCAGATGATTTACGTTTACAAATCAAACTAGAGAAAAATTATTATATTACCTTTCACATCAAATATAAAAGGTCTATCTAAATGCTCAATTTAAAGCAACATTAGCGGAGCTTGCTTTGATAGTGCGCTTTTCATTGCAGATTATAAAATGTGAATAATACCTCAATCTGCACATGAATCAAAAGGTGAATTTTTTAGAAAACGTGGTTGGACTCTATATACGATTTTGGCCTTTATAAAAAAAGTCAATCCCAATTAGATATTAAAGCATATAACCACTAGTCAACAGATACCAAGCAAGATGCTTGGTTTACCGTATCAGCATTTGAAGTTGTATTTGAATCGATAGAAACAAGTCTAAATAGATTAAAGTTATATCTGACAATAGGTCTTATTATTATAATACTGAATTAATATCAATAGTTGGATATTGACATGAGTAGTATAGTATTGAGATTTGTAACTGGTTGTTTTTGGAATCTGGAGAAGCAAAAACAACTATAGATTCACATCATGCTGCGGTTAGTATCTTATATAATGATATATGTGTTTTTTTTTTCATTGTACTATTAAAAATACTTACTGTTATTAGATAACATATGTAATAAAATGATATTTAAGAATTAGACTCAATATAGTGACAGGATATGATATAAACCAGGCAATTAAAGATCTGTCTGAACTATAGTAGTAAATATAGAACCAAATTATGGTGATAATAACGATATTAATAAAGATAAAAAAAAAGATCTAAAGTTAAGATTAAAACCATCAAAGGGATTTCAAAATTATATTACTGGAGATGGCCTGTTGGAGGTAGATATAATAGATATATTAGCGCACGTCTACTACCTTATATTGGAGAATAAAATAATTTTTTACTCACATATCTAAATAGCCTTTGAAACATTCTACTTCACCGACCAAACCCAACTAAATTAGAACAATCAATATCAAGCTCTACATAAACAATTCCAATAAATAATGTAAATGACTATGAAGAAGATATTGAAATATATTTACCTATATTTCTCTGAAAATAAGAACCCCCTCAGAGCAATTTTTATAGCCAAACTTTTTATGATCTAATGATCAAATTTGCATAATTTTGATAACATTTGAATCACTTTGATTAGTTGATTTGAATAGTATCAAAATTATATAGAATTTTGGCTATAAAAATTGCTCTGAGGGGGTGCTCATTTTCAGAAAAATATAATATATCATTGATTTAAAAAAAAAATAAAAAAATTCTAATTGCTTGAAAATGTTTAAAACTAAAAGATGTTAATGTGGATCAAGATGATAAAAATGAAAGCCAAAAAGAAATAATAAATAGTAAGTAGTAATTAGAATACCCTTATCTAATGCATTTAGCTTTTTATTTAAGTGTTTAATATTTAAATCAATTTATTAGACCCTTTAGTTATAATATCAATTCCAAGATAAGCATGAAAAACTAATAACATTTGATGTTCTACTTACTGATAAATGGTTTACTATAGCATGATAGATTTGAAATTTCCATTATCTAAGGGGTAGGCATTAAGAGGCAATCAAAAGTTAGACAACAAAGTAGGATCAAAAAACATATAAAATCTATATTAGAATGCTTTTTTTTAAATAGGAATCGAAAAAGTACAAATAGAATAGATGCACAGGCCATGTATAAAGAACTCCTGGAATACATCGAAGCTGGTAATATAGAAGAGAAGGATGTTTCAAAAATTATTACGATTCAAAATTGGATAAACACATATGCTTATGTTTTTAAGCGAAGAGCAGAAATTGAGTCAGATAATAGTGCTTAGTTGAAAGTAATACTTACTAATATAAAATAAAATTTTAAACGTAATAAAATTAAAATTATAAATATTCAGAAACGCAATTTATTTTCATATACAGTATATAAATCCTTTATAAGCAAAAAAAAGTTTAATAGCAATAGAAAGAATCAAACATAAATTGCTCACAAATTTATCTTCTGTTTTATCAAGTTCATCGCATTCAGCATAAGTTAAACACTATTCTCATTTTATTTTTTAGATCTATTTGAGTTTACCAGGGTGGTATACAAAAATGCAGACCACATGATTTGAATCATTGTATAACCACTTCTTAATAACCAGTAGTATATTGCTTTGTTGCGTAAATTGGGTTAAAAAATTTTTACAAAAATAAAGCTGAATGTGGAGGCTAGACGATTCAACCATTTTTTAAAAAATTATGCAGTGGTTGTGACATCTTTTCATTTGACTCGCACTTTTGAAGACCACCCTGATGAACTCGATCTATTTTAGCAAGAGAGTAAAAATTGCTGTTATACAGGAAAATCTACTTCAACAAGATATAAAATGGGTAGAAATTGCCAGTATACAGGAAGATCTACTTCAACAAGAGATAAAACAGGTAAAAATTGCTGTTATACAATTATACGATCATATACTGTATATAAAAAAAATACTGGTAAGCACAAATTAGTATTGTTCTTGCTGTAAAATATTCTCAAGAGCCAAAAATATTTATAAATTTGGCTATGGAATAAGCTAAAAATAAATTATACTAAATATCTTATAAATCTAATTATCTCAAAATACTACTTAGTAAATACTGCATGTATACAAAGTAAAGTCTGGCAAAAAAATATATCGATATTTAACGACCTTATAATTAAAAATTAGTAGTTTCATTTTATTGTTTGTGCTACTTTAATACGAGATTGGATATAAAATTTATTGACCTTGCTTATAATCTAAAAATTTTAATATGCATATCTCGTATAAGTGATCTGCATCATATTATCATATTAAAATTCTCCAATTTACTGGCAGATTATCAATTAATTAGTTTTTTTAAATTCTATTAATAAAAGAATTAGAATAGTTATATAATTAAAAAATTACAAGTTGGGTTAGTTTGTCTTGAACTTTTTGATATATCTCTATTTCTAATTCTATTTTAATAAGAGAATTGTTTAGAGTTAGATTTATTTTTAGTTCTGTATTAGGTAAAGAATCTTTTGAAGTTAAGACTATTTCTGATTCTTTGATTAAAATATTATTTAAGAAGGCTTCTATATTAATAGATTTAAATAAAATATTTACTATAATATTTACTAGAAAGATAATATTATTAATATTGTTAAAATTATTAGAATTTTATAAGAAAATATTAAAAGAACAAATTTTAAATTGTTTTAGACAGCAGGGTCCTGTCTTCAAATAGTAAAGAAATATTGAAGAATTTGGATTATACATCTCAACAAAATTATTTTAGAATCTAAAACCTGAAATTAAAATTTGAAAATGAAATTGTTTTTGACTTATTTTATTTAAAAGATAAAATTTTTTATATTTTTTTGAAAAGATAAAATTATAAAAAATATAATTATCTAAATTAGATTTGCTCTTGCATATAAAAAATTTTAATTTGCTCTAATAGAAACAAAATAGCATTTTTTTAAAAACCTATTTCAGTGGTATGTATAGTTTGAATAGTTACAGATTACAAGGTATTATATATATTTAATTGTATATTGTGTATAAATTAGAAAATTTCTAAATAAAGAGCTATATATAATTTTTAAAATTATACAATTGTTTGTTTTACAAAATTTTGTTAGATTTTGATCACAATGATTTATTCTTTTATTAGTTTTTCATGATATTTTGCTAGTTAATTACTATTATAATACTTTGTAATATTTTTCTATCTAATGTTT